CCCCAGGCTCCAACCCCCACCCCCCCCACCCCTCCCACCCCCAAGCAAAGCCAACATGTCCAAACTGGGCCTCACATTACCTTTACTCCAAATCAGTATTGTTCTTAATGCTTCAAATACATCATTTTTGGTTTCTCAGGCTCGTTGAAAACAAACAACAAAAGAATAAAAACGTACAAGGCCAAATATAAAGCTACTTAAGCTAGATGCAATAGTCCCAAATACAGTGAAGTAGTGCTGCTTCACACACTATATTGCGAGAAAAAGAGGCACCAGAGACTCCAGGCGATGAAGGCAGAGCACATGCACCCGCCCAGCTCAGCTATGAGGGGAGACCAGTGGGAAGGAGCGACCCCTGCTCTAGGTAAAGTTGCCCTAGATTCACTGACAGAACTGTGAAAGATTTGGGGACCCTTGCGTAATTGTCTGTTCATGGGCCAGCCTTGAAGACACAGACAAAATAAAGAGATAACACACCAGTGAAAAGAACAGAACAATACTGCCTCAAAAGAGGTTGGCCTTACACGCCGAAAAACAGAAGTCCAGAGACGCTCGCTGAAATGTCTTGTAAAAAGCATCTATGAATCCTTCGCAGATTAGAGCAGGCAGCAGTTCAGAGTGTCGGAGAGGAGTAAGGAGCACCCTGCTCGGATCTTCTATAACCATGTGAGGAAGCTCTCCTTGTCGATCTTGGTAGCTACCAGCACTGACTCCATGTCGTTGAGGATGTCGGAGCTCAGGGCCTCCTGCAGACTGGGCATCAGCTCTTCGCCCTCCACCACCATGCTCTCACCCTCTAGGGTGCCCAGGTCCACGTCTGTCCCCGGAATGGCGTCCAGGTAGTCGGGAAAACGACTGGGCTGTGTTGCCATGGAGGGTGGAAGGGGGTCCCCTGATGAAAAAGGAAAAAAGATTGAATTATTTGACTGCTTTAAAATAAAGATGATACTTTAACCATGTTTATATCTGTTTGTACACAGGTATGAGCAGCCAGGTGAGGGGAAAAAGTCACGTCACACCCCTGAATATAATTATGAGCAGGAGATTTGGGGAATTTCTGACGGCTACGAGAGTATCAGCGAGCCAATGTCATTATCAGCAGTTCAATGGAAACAAAACCCACTACTACAGTCAGTTCAACTAATTGAAAAAAGATCTGCACTATGAATCGCATTGCTTTTCATGGCAAGACTCCCAGGTGCCCATGCTAAAGCGAGTGGGAGAAGTTCGCCTGCAGGTCTTTCTACCAGAAAAGCTTTCTAAAACCTTCTTTTTCCAAACCTAACCAAGTTTTTTTTGTTGGCTAAAACGAACCAAACTGCGACTGAAAACTGACGCTAATAATAAAAAAAACCTTAACTATTAAAAGGTAAAAAGATTGGCTTCCAGGGGAGTCCAGTCTCGTGAGTGAGAGTCCTGTGTTTAACCCATTCAACGACAACTTCCTCCCCAAACACTGACTCAAAAAACTAAATGGCAACCACAGACACTTGAGATGTCACAATACAGACCACGCTGTCTGACAAGTGATCATATTGACTGTTTGCAGACTCACCTGTGTCCATCTCATCCACACTGTTGAGGAAGTCGTCTGGAGTGCGAGGGACGCTGTAGCTGCTCATACTCAAGCCGCTGTCTGTGCTCTCATCCCTGGAGTGGTAGGTCCCGCTGAAAACACAAAAATAAAGAGCTTATAAACTCTGCACAGCTAATAAAACATCAGGATTTCCATCAAACTGACGAAAATAAAAAGCTTTTTGTTGTCTCAGCAGAGTTTTTGGATGACCTCGATGACCTTCACTTAACTCTACTTTGAAACGGAACTACGTGAATCTAATTAACTGATCCAACAAAGCAAACACACTCAGTTATTAAAAGCACATAGGCTGGAAAGTAACAGTGTGGCCTTATTTCCCCCGGGGACCTTCTGCATACGTCCACATTTCAACAGTTCTATCTATTTGAATGACTATGGTGGCTAATCCACAGTGACAGTTGAAACAGCGCTTCACTTTTTCGCCCTCAATTGCAGAATATAGGAAAAAGAGCAACGATGAATGAGGCAACAGAGAGACAAAGAGGCAGAGAGAAGACATTTGACAAGCCTATACTAATTAGCAGAGGAAAAATATGTAGGCAGAGTATGGCAGAGGCAGGATGAATGAGGCCATTGTAAGAGCAGGGGAGCGGAGGCAACAGGGGGAGGAGGGGAGATTAGGTTGGCCTGTCTACTGACTGGACCACATGTTCTCATGGCCTGCTTGCTATTCAGCTCTTTCCTCACGTCGTCCGCTTGAAGAAGAACTAGAGCTGGAACTGTGAGGAATGATTTCCCAGAATGCCACGGAGCAGCATTCATAAATAGTTCCTCCTGTCCTTTTCCTAATTGCAGCGGTTTTCAGATCTAGTTTTGGGGTTTTATGTCTTTACTGCTCAAGCTGTACACCTCTACTTTGAATGAAGTGTGGTGTAATACGTTTGTTGACAGGTTACACCACCATTTAGGTTCTGATTGCCTCTATTTCAGCAGTTGTACACCAGAGGTCATCATTGTGCAGTTAACTCCAGCACAGACCTGCTGGTCTGAATGAGTCATTACCATGTGAACAGGGTTAAGCCCAGAGACTATCCTGTTTTTACTACTTGTGTAACTCAGGGAACTCTCCAGAGCACAAACTCAAACAGGATACATTAAGTTTGACAAGCTGAACCAGAATGGGAGCCCTCGCCAAGTAACAAGTAACGTCAATCAGTGCACCTCAGCTGCAATCCTACTGTACATGAAGGAAACTGTCACCCATTTGCTCCCAAGAGGACACGCCTGGCTTCTGTATGAAACCAACCTGTTGAGGAATGGATCAGAGCTGTTGGCAGTCATGGTCCGGGCATCTTGGGCCATAGGGGAGGACACAGGGTTTGTGCCGCCATCTTGATCCATACTGGTAGGCAGCTGATTCCTTAGAGCGAGCTCCTGTGGACGATAAAGCACAAAATCCATGAACAACACAATCAACCCCACTCCTTACCTCAGGAGCTAAATTACACACAGCTACAGCTTCATGAAAACTGCCTTATTCCACTGCTGCTGCTCTTCTGTCACTACTTAAAATGTCACATTAAAAAAGGTCCAGTGTGTAGGATTTAGTGGCATCTAACAGTGTAGTTGCAGATCGCAACTCCGAAGTGTAAAGGAGAAACTATAGTGTCACTATCGACTGTATAGCCAGAGTTTGGTTTGTTCCTTCTGGGATGCTGTAGAAACATGGTGGTTCAACATAGCAGACTCCATGGAAGGCAATCTGTAGATATAAAAGGCTCCTTCTAGGGTAACAAAAAGAAAGATTCCCATATTCAGGTGATTATACACGAATAAAAATGTAGTTATGCATATTTTATCCTATTTTAGCCAAGAAATCCTCCTAAATGCTACACACTGGACCTTTAAGCGTTTAGACTGACTGCCAACATGGTGTTCGACATTTCTCCCCATACATAGTGTCAAATTACGTGTGTGTGTGGAGGGGGGAGGGGGGAGGGAACCACAGTTGGAGACAATTGTTTTCTACACATGCTGTATCAGATAAGGCTACGGATATGAAGTCATGTTCTTTTTCACCTCCTTCCCTCAAAGTCCTTGAACGGGAAGGTGAAAATGACTTGACCGGTGTCACCGTTTTGAGATCTCATTAAACTTTTACAGGGTCATAGACAACAACGGGGAGGCAGCCAATGGAATGTGATTTTTTTTAGTAAGCATGTAAAATTGCTGCTAGACACCCTAAGTGGTTGGTTGAAACTTTTATTGGTTGTGGTTGAGGAGAAATGGACACAATGTTCTGAGACAAAAAGATGAATAAAAAGCCCTTTATGAAGTAATAATGTCTTTTCCTTCTTTCTGCTTTTATTTCACATCTACTGAGTTTTTCCTTCTCGAACGACGACATTTATCCCAGAATCCCATGCACACATGTAAACAATCTGGTTTTGATTAAGAGGGATTACAAGGGGTTGTGTACTGTAAACAACCTTTATGGTTTTATTGGCTCTCTTTTTTTGCATGACTGAGCAGCGTCAGCACTCGACTGCCACCATACATCGCCAACCGTTGTTCGTCATACTTTCTGCCATGTGGAATACATTTGGGCGTGGCTAGTATTGCCCCAATGTTGAACTCCCTACACAAGCACATAGCTTGCACAATTTCCTACTATAATCATGCTTCACTATATTTGCAAACACAGTATGGCCTCTGTATTCCAAACACATTGTATCTAAAAAGTTACAGGAATTTGGGGTTTACTGAGATCAAGTCATTGGCCTGATAGAGGAGCTCTTCAAATGTATACAGTCTGCAATCCCATCTCCACAATTTTATTTTCCATTAAGCTCTTTGTGTAACTGGCAAGTGTGGATGTCTGAGGTTTGGATAAGTAAACCGATCATGTGTCTTTTCATAACTAATGTTTTCCTTACATAATTTATGAACTCTTTATCTATCATTACATTGTCAGGAAATCAGGCAGGAAGACAGGAAATACATTATACATGTTCTAAAATAACCTGGTTCCTTCTTTGTTTACATGCATGGAAACCAAGTTAGAAACCAGTTTAAGGCTTTGACGTGGCTAAGAAATTAGCATTCTCAGCAGAAATCTACCTGTGGTAACCAGGTTTCTCTTAATCATTTACCCCACTATGAAAACCATTTTTTTTTCCTCACTTGACATTACATAAAGTCGACAACAACCAGGTTACTCAAGCCCAAAGTGCGTATTTTTATCTTTCAGTAGGGACAGTCCAGTGTCATCTTTTCCCCTGTAGAGCTGACTGCAAGTAAAAAAACTCAGGTCACTCACACGCTGTGAACTTTAAACAACTCGTGTGAATGGCATTGTAAACAAAGTCACAAGCCCCCTCATTCATAATCATAAAGCTCTGTTTCTGGAGTTATGACACAGCCTTGAGTAAACTACTGGACTCAGCTGCACCACCCAGTGTGGGCGGCACGGTGACACATTACCGTTAGGAAGTGATAAAATTACCACATATGACTCATGAGACTTCATTGCAGGGCAGTGTAACAATGAAGACCGATCAAAGGGGTCTAAGATCCACCACTATACATAGGAATGACGAGGGCCTGTTCAAGTTGTATATTACATTTTACAACATAAACATTTTGCTGACCCCCCTATTCATCTAATTGAGCAATTAGGGGTCCACTGTCTGACTACTGCACTGATGGACACATACTGAAAGTAATGACCTTTTGCCCTTTTTATGATACGTGGTTATTTGTTCCTTAATGAGTCGACAGTACTTTTGAATACTTTTTGAAATGCTTTAACATAATTCCTAACCTGTGGTCTCTGCCGGAGGAGCTCCTGTTGCTTCAGTCTTAGCCTTTCCTTTTCGATCTGCTGCAGTCTCAATTGATTGTTGCCTCCCATGACTCCACTGTGGCTGGGAGGAAGCTGCCCTCCCTGCTTTACCGGAGCACTCTGGGTGATCCTCTGCTGGTTCAGGGCTGCAAAAAGACACAGACAGGAGTTCAAATCACAACTGTTAGTATAATATGTTGCTTTTAAACTTTGCATACTGAGACTCTTAAATGTTAGACTAATAAGATATGTCCAGCTTCAACAATGTTCACTATTGGAAATAAAAATAATACATATAGAATCATCAACATCGCTGCAACTACACCTTTTAATGCTCGGCTGCATTTAAACCCTGCATAACAAGACTGACAACTTGAGCGTTTTTTTTCTTACACGCTGAACTTAAGAGTGGAGCCAGTGCAGCAGGTTGTGTAGAACAAGTGAAGTCTCAGCACAAGTTTCCCACCTAGTGTCTGAAACAACCACTATTCCTGTAAGACCTGATCCCCTCCCACTCACTGACTAAGACAGGCTTTGTTAGTTGTGTGTTGTGCATTGCATCAGTTATGACTTATCCTTTCATTGTGCGTTTCTAAACAAAATCACAGATTATCCCTCAGGACCGACTGCCTCCTCACCCTGGCCCGATGGGTCCACTTCAGCTGATTTAATGAATGCAATATGAGCACAGCGTGCAAATAAGAAATTGTTTTAAAACAGACCCACATCAGTTTCTCTAAACACTGTACCGCTGTTAACTTTAATTTCAAAGTTATTTTGCCCGACAAATGTAATTTTAAAACAACCTAACTGCATGTTTACAATATCAGAACAAATGTGTGTGTATTGAAAACACAGCTGGTCCCCGGTGAAATCTTTGTTATTCTCTACTCTAGCGAGGGTGGGTCTAATACACATGAGTATAAAGCAGCACAGCAATGCAGCAATCTATGCATGCAAAGTAGGTCACACGTTTTATCACAGTAGTAAAGAAAGAGAAGCAAATGTGCTTGACCACAAGGGGTGTAACAGTAATGGAACCAATGAGGAGCGCTGTTTGCTTATGCGCTTGAAGCACCAACCAAAACAAAGCCTTGATGGGGGCACAATTTTCATGCGGGGCTGCCTCTCTGTGCTGTCCTGCCCGCCCCGGCACCTTTCTCATCACCATTCAATCACTGTCTGTTTACACTATCTCAGGGGCTGAATGAACCGTGGCTCAGGGCTCTCCCTGGGAAGCTCTGGAGGCCCCGCCCTGCCCTGCCTTCCGTCTCACTCCCTCCTTCCCTACTTCTCTGTCCATGCTGCCTCCCCCAACAACCCCACCCCAGCACATACACATGCACACAGACACACACAGAGTCACGGAGCCGCCGCCTTCTCCCTCTCCCACACACATCAAGTGAAGCCATGGGAGAGTGTGTTAGTTCTCTCCACTTCTTATCTTTGGCAGATACTGAAGCCTTTTGTGGCTCCACCATCAGGGCACCATCAGCTGTTTTCAAGGCAGAGGTGCTGCACATGGGCCATGTCAGCAGCTGTAGATATGTTAAGGCCTGAGCTTTGAAGAAGGGCACGTATTAAAAGGTGTGGCATATGGAGAAAGACTCACTCACATTTAAGGAAAAATTCCCTATTTCAAACAACCGGTGTCTTTATTTTCTCCATTATTTCTATCAATGATAACATTGTGCCCTATTGTATGTGTCAACATCACTAGCAGGAAGTCTGACAGGGCAAGAAATGACTATTAGCCAGCAAAACAAAATTTCTAAAGTTAATGCTTGTTGTAAAATTATTAACTCAACTGTCCATTGCAAGTTGTTGACGAAATGCTGGCTTGTTTATATCTGTCTGATCATCTGCCTGTTTGTCTTTCTCGCCACAAGTGAATTT